CAGCCAGCCTCCAGCGGGCTTCTGAACGGTGAAGGCAATCAGATTGGCAGTAATGAAGATGAGACAGGTGTGGTTGCTGGGCAGGTGTGGTGATTCCAAGGTGCAGGTACTGCCAGTCCAGCTCTTTATAATTCAGTCAGGAGCGGCCACTGATGGCGAGAAGTAGGTGGGATCGGCGAATCACTGTGTTGTGTTAACACGCACTACGTGACCCTTGCAACCATTTTGCTTTCCGCAACACGAACTAAGACGCTTTTAAACGCAATCGTAGTTGTATAAAGAGCATATTGACCAAGTGCGACCTCTTTGAAACAATACGCGATCAACAGCTGATTCAATATTTGTTGGAAAGAAAAAAATCGACTTCTATTTCAGGACTTTGCTATGGCAATATTGACTGTGGTCTTAATTACCTTTATTGATATGCCTAAATCATGTATGACGAAGGAAGGTAATCACGATATGAGTGGACGTGGTCAGCACAGTGGGCATTTGCCACCGTTACACAGTGTGTCCGAGGGAATGAATAATACACGGCTCCCCACGTGGGTCTAGCGTGACTGATGCCGGACAATCTGCTTTAATTACTTCACAACATCCTCTGTGGTGTGAAGTATATACTTTATTCAGGATTTTTGCCTTGTTAGAAGCGACTACACCAAGTATCACAAGGCCTCAATGTATACCTTCAGTTTGCCTTCCACTTTGGCCCACAATGTAGTTTTCTTGGAGCTTGGTACTTTTGTCTTAGACAGAATGTTTTCGCCACTGTTTCATGAAGTATCATTTTTCTCCAAAGGAGCAGTCCAACACATATCTTCTGCACAAATGACTTGTTTTTGTTTTCAAAAACACCAAAGTCCTCTCACATGTGCGCACAATAACACATTCTTGTAATCAACCAGGACTATCATCAGTGTGGACATATCAAAGTCTGTATTCTACCAGGACGAGTGTAATCTAGCTCTATTTAATAACTGTGTCGATATAGTGAGGTGACTTTTGATTCGGAGAGAATTGTTTGACGTATGTGCAGTTTACTACAATGGTTAAGTTCGTGGGTGAGGAAACGGCGTGAATGTAAAATGAAGTTGACAGTCAAACTGACATTGTATTGAACCAGAGAGATGTCCATAATATGATACAATACATTCACCAACTGTATAAAACATATTAATTTTCCTAAATTGTACACAAATGTTGCCAAATGATGTGGACGAATACCAATAAGCACATGAGACATTTGAGACTGTACAGAAAATTAACAGCATGAAAATGTTTCGAAATATATTTTCCTGTATAGATTGCAAGTCGACCAAGTGTGTTTATATGTCCTTTCTTTCCTCGAGTGTGCTGTGTCAATACTGTGTTTAAAGAGTTAAACAGGTCTACAATACGTGTGCGTGCATATCGGTTTATTTGCATAGGTTAAACGTTGCTATAAACGTTGAACACAGGTCGGGTAAAACTACATGCCCTCACATTATACAGAGAGTCATTCCGCTACAGAACTGCGTGCATCAGGTCTCCTCGGTATATGGACTGTGTGTATATAGCACACGTCATTGAAGGAGACTGAGACGATTCTTTCAATTAATACAATAAACCTTTTTTGGGTAACAAAGGCATGTGTTTAAAAAATCCATCATTAGAAGTGACAGAGAACTGTCAATGCCAGGTCTCGTCCTTTTCGATCACAGTAATGATTGACGATCATGCATCTTGTTCATCTCAAATGATACACCAGCTGGGAACATGTAGAAAACTTTGCAGGAGGTCATATATACTAGGGACATAAAGAAACTGTGCATACAAAAATTTAAAATAAAAATTTATCAAACCTGTGTAGACACATAAAGATTTAAAATCAGAGATTAGTGACATGTATCCAACATGCATGCACGTGCCACGTTCCGTGACGTCAGTGGGTTCGTCCTTGAGACGTGCAATACGTTGTTGCACGTGCATTCCGGCAAAGAGAAACAGAGCAAATGAATGCCACACAATACTGTCACTTTGGAAAGCTCAACCCCTACCCTTGCGATCGTTCAAAAAATTAAACGGCTATTGAAACGCATAGCATGCCAAGGCTCACGTCTGCACAACGTCAAAAGGCCATTGGGATGGTCCGTGGGGGAATGTCTCAGCGACAAGTGGCTGCACATTTCCACTGCCACCGGAACACCGTTTCTGCACTGGTGAGACGCTACCAGAACACAAATGACGTCATCGATCGGCCACGTTCTGGACGTCCACGTGTAACAACGCCAAGACAGGACAGATGGATAAGGGTGACCCATCTTCGCCACAGGTTTCAGACTGCAGTGATGACTGCCCGAACCATCCCAGGACTTCGCCGTATCCACCCCAACACAGTTCGACAACGTTTACGTCATCACGGGGTCACACCACGACGTCCCGCCATACGGCCTATCCTGACACAACGTCATCGACAAGCTCGCCGAAAGTAGTGCCGAAATCATGTCCGCAGACCCTTGTTTTGGTGGAGAAATGTTGTTTTTACAGATGAGTCCAGGTTTAACATTTCCCATAGTGATGGACGTCAACGTGTCTATAGACGCGTGGGAGAACGTTATGCACAGGCCTGTGTCTTGGAGAGGAATAGCTTTGGTGGTGGTTCCCTGATGATTTGGGGTGAAATAACAGCACGCCAAAGAACTCCTTTGGTGATTGTTCAGGGCAACTTAACTGGTGTGGGCTACAGGGATCAGATTCTTCGACCTGTGGAAATTCCTTTTCTGCAACGTCATGGCCCTGGGTTAACATTCCAACAGGACAATGCCCGCCCTCCTACGGCAAGGGTTGCTATGGATTTCTTGCAACACCACAACGTTGACTTACTGCCTTGGCCTGCAAATTCACCGGATCTCTCCCCGATAGAGCATGTTTGGGACGAGATGGATCGACGTCTACTCCGTCTTCCTCATCCGCCAGATAACGTCCTTGACCTTGCAACAGAACTTGAGAGAATCTGGCGTGACATCCCACAAGCCTTCCTTGCACGTTTGATAGGCTCTATGCGTCGTCGATGCACTGATGTTCTCAATGCCGATGGTGGACATACCCGTTATTGAACGTGTGACATGGTCGTTTGACCCCTGTCCCCTGGACTCTTGACGTCATTGTGATTGACTTTTCAATTGAAATTCTCCCGACTTTTTATGGTCTCATGATCCCTCCATTAAAGTTTATATGTACCTTTGACATTGTTATCGTACTTATCAACTGGGATAATATTTTGTCAATGCACAGTTTCTTTATGTGGCTAGTATAGATCAAATTTTAAAAAGAATATAATCAACAATATACTACGTTGTTTCTCCGTTGAAAGTAGCTAATTGTATAACGCGCATTGATCACACCCATTATATAACTCAGATTTCTTTCTGTATAACCCACACTGTCTCCTCCTACAGTATAACCTAGACTGACCACACTTTGTATATAACACACTGTCTCCTCCTACAGTATAACCTAGACTGACCACACTTTGTATATAATACATGGCCACACCTAACGTATAACTCACACTGTCCAAATATCGTGTACAATGTACGCTGACAACACCTTCCGTACACATTCTGCTACTAGAGAATAACCCAGACTGTCCACACTTTATATATAACACATGGTCACACCTAACATATAATTCACTCTTCCCACATCTCGTGTCTGACTACACCTTCCGTACAATGGATGGACAGACACAAAAGCGGACAAGGGAAAATATACGACATAGAAACCTCAACTCTCACATCAGCCTACAAGCCTTCATGAAAACCCTGGAGAATTCACATTAATGACACGATTTTCACCAATCGCATCAATCCTAATCCCATTATGTCAAAGCAACTGTCAAACCCACAAAATCGAGAGGTTCGGTATTCAACGAAAGTGGCCTATATGTACCCAGGCTGGTAGCACCAGTGCAGGAAAGATGGCGGGCCTGACATCTCCGGCAACAAAGAAAGGTTGTAACTGCTTTAGTCCTATCACTCTCCGAGAAGAGTGAGATGATCTCCACACACAGTAGTCACACCCTTGACAACATCGTCCTGCAGCCATCCCGTTGTTCTAGGAACTGGGACTAATGGTGTATCACCAGGCCCTGATTCCACTTTCCCTAATAACTACCGAAAAACACTTGAACAGTTTTGAAGAGTGTGTTCCTTTGCTGGCACAAGGACGTTGATGAGACAGACATCCATTGTCCTTTTCCAGACGACCAACACCAACACATCAACGACCAACACCACATGTTGTATGTTACCCTCTTGAACTCCCAGCGAGGCGTCAGCACTTCAGCCATCAGCAAGACGAACAACACTATGCTTACTATCTGCACACTGATTACAGGGTCGTTTTAAATTGAGGAACCTGCTCCATCTGCAACAGTAAACATCTGAAAACCTAGACTCGATAGTCGCCACCTAAACGGCTACCCAAAACATCCATTTGTCAACGCCAACATGCTTAAACCAAGAATGTAAGCTGAACGCTTCCCAAATGTAGCACTTTGTCTATTTATCTATTCCATGTTATGACCTTCCCAACTATTTCCCACATGCGCAGATTATGATGAACGATACAGACTAGGTGTAAAGTGAGCATCACCTTCCCATGAGACAAACAATTCTCTATGCCATTGGAAAAGGCGCACACAAAAAAATGGACAAGCCTCCCAAGCAGTCAAATCAGACGAAAATAACGCGAAACTTCTACTGACGAAGTTGTTATGACTCTATCTAAGATGATGTTATGTACTATATAACGCTAGAGAGGAAGGTGGTGCAAGGCGTCATCAGTATGAGACAAACCGAGAAGGGTATGATCAGAGATCAACGCGTTCTCGTACATCGCATGACAAGTACTTTATCAGACGCTCAGTTCCGTGGGAATCAAGCATTATGAGCGGTTTCAAGCAAACTATGCTGGATGTTAGAGGCGACTTATAGGAAAGGTAGGTGAGATATACTTACAAGTTGTACAGCAGTATGTCAGGGAGCCAGATCTTCTTTGAGGGAACCCGGACGTTATCGATGTCATCGTGCTCTGTTCGGTTCCACGATAACAAGACGTCCGTCCATTTCTGTGGAAACGAAATAAAAAATGAGTTGAATATATCCACACTCTCTCTCTCACTATCTCTCTCTTTCACACACTATCTCTCTCTCTCTCTCTCTCTCGTTGTAACATGGGTGGTGTTATATGTATCCACACTCTCTCTCACTATCTCTCTCTCTCTCGCTCGCTCTCTCTCTCTTTCTGTCTCTTGTAGTTATATCAATACTATACTGGGATAAAGGTATGTGCACGAATTGGACTAGGCATGGAAACACCAATGTCTGCAGCGTCTCCCTTCATGGGATACACTTATATAACACAAACAGTATTCATAATGTTATGTACATAATCTCATTGGAAACCAGTGTAACATGTCATAAACACACCCGCGTGACGAGTGCAGTAAACATAAATATTCAGACTCGTGAATGGATTTGTATCAAACAACAAAGACTACCAATGACTGTTCTGCACTCAACCGTCAGGCAACAGTGCGATGCTGGATACAATCTATGCCACCCGACCACGCCATAATATGATGAGTGTCATGCGACTAGCATTTGAATAGATGACGGAGAATTCGGGCCGTGGCTTTAGTACTATAGGGAATGACGTTCTTGAAATACACATATTATGCTACTCCACCATCGGACTGTATCAGATAGGGTTCTTGGATCTTCTTCTGACAGGGCGCCATCTCCGTCAGCAGAGTTGAGGATAGATATTGCGACAGGGTGGTAGATTCGTTAGGACATGGCACGGTAGCAGCTTCACCATCAGACAGAATTGTAGGATCATGTTCCAGGCTAGTAACTTCACCAAGAACAGGGTAGTTGTTTCATATTCCGATAGGCTAGAAACTTCATATTCCGACAGCGTAGCAGCTTTATATTCCGATAGCGAAGTAGACTCATATTCCGACAGCTTATTAGCCATGTTTCAGCAGTGCACCAGCTTCAACATGAAAGAGGGTAGTACCTTCGTATTCTGGCATGGTGGTAGTTTCATATTCCGACTGGATAGTAGCATCAACATAAAACGTTGCTAAAGATTGAGAATCACACGAAACGGTACCTACAGCCCTAGTCAAAGCCGCGCCATGAAAAGGACCAGCAATAGCACCAACATCAGACGTGGGTATTTGCATAAGGACCGAGATCTGCAGGAGTTACAACCCTCTTGAGTACATGTTTCCATCAACATAGCTCAACCAGATTGCTTCGTAACAGCTATATTCAGGAGGAATGACCTACAACAACTCATAACCAAAGCACTTGATTCAGGATAGATTGCTACTGACACCTCAAATTTAGAGGCTGATAGTTCTAATTTTCCTAAGTATGACATGCATACCGAAGGGTCCTGAAAGCGGGGTTGGAATCAATACCGCCGACCCTGTATTGACACTATCACGGACACTGGGGGGATATTAAACCTGGACAATATCGTGCAAGTGTTTCTGTTATGGCTTGTTAGGCTTGCAATGACGAGAGGCCACGCCAACCACAACCATGTAATAATTTAGTCGAACATATGGACATAAAGGGACAAAACCCTTTCCACATCCATAAGATATCTCTGCTAAATGTAGAGTTGACAGTTGAATTCCGGCTTGATCATGGACACTAGGGATGATGCCAGGTGTTCTGCCCCATCTGCTACATCCGTTATAAAAAATGCAAAGTCTAAGTAAAACATGGGAGTGTGTGGTACAAGTCAAAATAGGGAATTGCATATTTTTTGTCTCGATGTCAAACTTGAAAATGTGCTCCACATGTATACCACAAAAATTGCTAAATTAAAAGCATTTATCACGGCCTTTAATGTTGTATCGAACAACGTCAGAGCACGAGTTGTATGCAATCTTGATTTTTTAAAATTAAACGTGTGCTTAATTTTAAGTTGTGAAATGTAAACACCAAAGACTGGAGATGTTGGAACATTGCTTGACATAAAGGTAAAGTCATTGGAACGTAAATCATCCCTGCTGTCTCACTGCCTTGTGGAGAATTATTTGTCATTCTGAATCTTTATGTACAGTTCTAAATATTATAAACATATTAAGTGGTCTTACTAGACTCCTTTTTTTCTGGTTCAGATGTGTAAATCAGTGGAACAGAATTTGCTGTTTGATTGGTATTGAACGACAACAGAGTATCGATATACCTGAAGTTTAAAATTACCATATTGGTGAAATTATCTGTGTTCTGTCTTTGCCACCCGAGCAACAATTCTGATTCATATACATAAAGAAACAGATCCACAAGTCATCCTACTGATGATGCCTGCTCATTGTCTTACTGATGTACCTCCAAATTGTACGTGGATGTAATTAACGCGGAATACAAACTTGTCAAATATTGTCTTCTTGGTAAACATGATGACCTTTGCTTTAATTGTCCAGAATCTCTAAGGATGGATACGTAACTATGTGTGTGCTCATCAAGCTTATTTTAAAAGCCCCATAGATCAATGACTGATTCAGTTTGTCATGCGGGATAGTAGTGTACAAACGTGAATGATTAAACGTTTGACAGAAATGAACTCATAAAAACTCTGGTAAACATTCAAGCAAATCGTTTGAGTTTTTGAGAATTCGCATGGCAGTAATTCCACTTGTCTTTCCCTGATAATGTTAAAAATTATGGTTTATTTTTTGGACAGCCATTTGATGCTACATTTGTAGGACCCAGCTAAACCGCATCATCGATGACAGTTCGTTTTCAAGAAAAGCATGTGTAAGCAGTCAGGAAGGTTGGTTTAACTGAGAGAATGCTATGCCACTATGTTACGTTTAGATCAGATTTGTGTCTGATATAGAGAGACTTTTAATCCATTTCTTCATTGATACACTTACGACCTACGTCGTTGGAGAGAATTTGTCCAAGTATCGTAGAAGTCCACATGGTTTTCTACAGCTGCTGTGACGTCATGTTTTTGGTTTAGCAGTTGGTTCCGAGTAGACCTTTCATCATGTTTAGTAACAGACCGGAGTCACCCAGGGCCAGAACAAAAGAATAACATCGCTGCTGAAGGAGTTCAATGCCACACTTCTGGACTGAAGCCATGGCAAAGACTGAGTTGTTCACTGTCCTTGTGGAAAGGCACACATTTCAACAGCTTCCCATGTCACTTTGTCTTTATTTCATCTCGTAATTGTCTCAAGGGTCAAGCTTAATATGCTCCGCTTATTGTCTGGCCTTGACGAAAATATTCCACCATGTTGACAGCCTTGACATTCCAGAACGCGGAGGCCACTACCTTCTCATTGCATGGGACAGTCTTTGTCTTCTTTTCAATGCCCCCACAATTGTTGGACTCAGGTTTCATGTTCCAAAGGTCAGCGAAACAATTTGTCTTTAATGACTAAATCGTTCTGGCATATGACATCATGTAATGTTCACAAAAATGATTGAACTATTACGCAATTGGTTCTATGTGAGGTTCAGCACATACCAGATAAAACTGAATAATGCTTTTACTTATTCCAAGGGAACAAATGTCATGTCAAATCATATGATCGTTCTCTCGCCCAGCGGCCCTTGGTCAAGGTAAAGGACTGGACATAGAAACTATCACATGACCACAAATGGAGAGTTTGAGTCAAATATATATACGCATAATATGTGAAGAAGGCATGCCATTATTGCTTACGAACAGTGTGTTATGTCTGTACCACATATATACAGAAAGGATGCCATTACCATGTGGAATAAACACAATAAACACATATAATCAGTTACTTACATAGTGATACCATATATTTGTTTTCAGTACTTGGTTTGTTTCGTCTACGTCTAGAATCTGTATCAGGGAAAGGCCAAAGTACACCGTGAGGTTGTCGTTGGTGTGTATCACAGGGCGACCCACTCGTCCCTGACGTTCGTAGCGCTCCAATAACTTTTTAATGAGGATTTTCTCAGTCGATATCGCCTGCTTCGGTGGTAGTTTGAGAGGCGGCGGCTGTACACTACGTTCTTGTATATTGTTCTCATCTGGCACCCCACTGCTGTTCTGTAGCTGGCCTTCTACGCTCTCCCTGGATGGAACTGCAGGGTCGTCTACGGCGTTTTCTCCTTCTGTGGGCCTCACTGAAACATACGACAAAACACATCTGACGACATAGGTCGAAGGTTGGAAATATATTGTTTTACTGTGTCTAAATAACTGGTAAAGTTTGTGAAAGATTTCACACACATAAATGCATACACTCGCATAAAGATACACACAAGTGTCACAAAACACAAACATATCACAGAAAGACACACACATACACCGCAGACAACCACACCAGTCACTTATACAAAGACACACAAGCACCACACAGACATACAGTGAAGGACACATACAGGCACTCACAATATACACTGCGCATGTACACATTTGAAACACTAGATCAATCCAACAGAAGGAAGGTCAGTTTGTACTGGTCATGTGAACAGAGAGAAAATGTAGTTGATTTCCAGAATGTGCAACAAGAAACAGCGGTAAAGAGCACCCCAAGTACCACTATAGTCTTGGAGAACCATGAAATACTTTCACGTTAGTCGTACATGACTACGGCTTACATTCACATCTGTCGTACATGACCATGGCTTACATTTACATCTGTCGTACATGACCATGGCTTACATTCACATCTGTCGTACATGACCATGGCTTACATTCACATCTGTCGTACATGACTACGGTTTACATTTACATCTGTCGTACATGACCATGGCTTACATTCACATCTGTCGTACATGACCATGGCTTACATTTACATCTGTCGTACATGACCATGGCTTACATTCACATCTGTCGTACATGACTACGGCTTACATTTACTTCTGTCGTACATGACCATGGCTTACATTCACATCTGTCGTACATGACCATGGCTTGCTTTCACGTTATTTGTACATGACCATGACCTGCTTTCACGTTATTTGTACATGACCATGACCTGCTTTCACGTTAGTCATACATGACCATGACCTGCTTTCACGTTAGTCGTACATGACCATGACTTGCTTTCACGTTAGACGTACATGACCATGACTTGCTTTCACGTTAGTCGTACATGAACATGGCTTGCTTTCACGTTATTTGTACATGACCATGACCTGCTTTCACGTTAGCCGTACATGACCATGGCTTGCTTTCACGTTAGTCATACATGACCATGACTTGCTTTCACGTTAGTCGTACATGACCATGACCTGCTTTCACGTTAGTCATACATGACCATGGCTTGCTTTCACGTTAGTCGTACATGACCATGACCTGCTTTCACGTTAGTCGTACATGACCATGACCTGCTTTCACGTTAGTCGTACATGAACATGGCTTGCCTTTGCGTTAATCATATAGAAGTATGTCAAGTAGTCAGGTTCGTCATTTAGAACAATGTTTGTCGTCATGTTAATCTCAGAGAACAACGATTCGTCTTGGAGGACCATGTCTTTTCTCCTCACGAGTCTTATATAACCAAGGCCTGTCGTCAGCTTAGTCTTGACCTGTTTCAGCCATGACTTGTTTTCACATTAGTCTTAGAGCACTCTGGTATTCACTTTTGTTTTTCACATTTCTTGTAGAGCAATGGATATGCATCCACATATTGCAAACACGTTAGTTTTACAGAACCATATGTCTGATAGTCAAGCTAGTCTTATAGGAACGTGTCTAGTAATCACTCTAGTCCCAGGGAACCATGACTCGTAATCATGTTAATCTTAAAGTACAATGGGTAGTAGTCACGTTAGTCTTTGAGAGCAATGTCTTGTAGTCAGGGCAGTCTTAGAGAGCAATGGCGTATAGTCACGTTGGTCATTTGGAATCAGGGCTCAAAATCAAAATAGTCTTGCTTATTATCTACAAACCAAATCAATTACTGCAGCTAAGCTCAGAGCGTCACATCTCGTTAAGGTACCAAGCCTGCGTTATCTGACCATCATCGACAGCTGTCGAATCTAGCTATCGTCTGTAACAAACCCACCAACTATAAACTGACATTCGTGATATAACTGAACTACTGTTCAAAGAGGAATAAATCTTAAACAAAGTCACTTACTCCTCATTCACTCACAAAAATTCTAATCCCGTTTGACAGATTACCTTGACAATTATTGCAATTATGTCGTGTCACTATTCGACCAAGAGTCAATCTGGAAAAAGCTATGAAAGCCACCCATGTATTGAATATATTCTAACCAATGTTTGTGAAGAGCTCTGCATGCATGCATTGAAACATAACTACTATTTAACAGTCACCACAAAAATAATGTCCGTTTATAATAACCACATAAAACTACTGACAATATTGTGTAACCTCCTGAACATATACACGTCAAGCTGTTCCGAGTAGCTCTCTGCCTAGTGCTAATTTTGAATTCTAGCATAAAAGAATAATGGTTGCCCATTCGTAATCATATTATACAATACTGTTAAGGTTTGCGTGTGAAACGGTGTAATGTGAATCGTAAACAAGAACATTTAGCTGTGACAGGAGTGAAAGATGATCCTCATAACATCCATGCATACTCGTAATCAAAGACATCTATGAGTGGGCTATACTGAGTACTTAGCGAGTGTTGGGTAGCAGAAACACAATGATTCCAATGTAATACTAGTATTATTACAAGAGTTGAAATACAATGGATACCCAAATACAGATGACTAACGTTTCTCATTATCTAAACGTATCGAAGAAAACAGACGGTGTTAGTGGCAGTGATTCATACAGTCACCATTCGCTGACTGTACTCAGGAAGTGCAAGCTGACAATAAAGTGCTTTGCTTTCTCAAAGGTGGGTTTAAAGAACGATAAGATCCTACAAACGTTTTTATTAACGTTTTAACAACATTTATCCACACAACATCACTGAGCCATAAACATTTGTATTCAGTGGAAAGCCGACTTCCGACTGGGTTTAATGTAGGTGACGGGAGCCCGCGAGACGAAGACATATCGAGTCCTGTCATTTTACTTCTGTGATATGAGTCACCAGATGGTTTATCTGTTGTGAAATTGGTTGTAATTACCGTTAGGCTACAACATTTGTTCAGTTTCGGAGCACGAAATATTCACGAAACAAGATTATACCGGTTGACATAAGGCCATTTACGACAGCTCACTTGGTCCAACGGGCGCTGCTCTCAGTTACCACCAAGTTCAAGGTCGTAAGCAGAAACGGCGATTAATGTTGCAACGACCTTTCCACATAATGTTTTGTTCATCATTAATTTTCTGAAACTTATATAAGAAAGCAAAGTCTGGACATCAAATATGTCAACGATACAGGTTAGGGATAGGTTTTGTAATACAATGAACGTAGTATGTCTATACATCGATGGTGTTTTGAATAAAAAAAGCTGTGTTTAATGGGAATAGTGTTTTTTGCCTGGGAGAGAGCAGACGTTGTAGTGTACAGTGTACAAGCATTGCTATATACAGTGTACAAGCATTGCTATATACAGTGTACAGGCGTTGCTATTGACAGTGTACATGCGCTGCAGTGTACAGTGTACAAGCATTGCTATATACAGTGTGCAGGCGTTGCTATTGACAGTGTACAGACGTTGCTATTGACAGTGTACATGCACTGCAGTGTACAGTGTATAGATGTTGCAGTGGACAGTGTATAGACGTTGCAGTGTACAGTGTATAGAGGTTGCAGTACATAGTGTACAGTATATAGACATTGCAGTGTACAGTGTATAGACGTTGCAGTGCACAGTGTATAGAGGTTGCAGTATATAGTGTACAGTATATAGACGCTGCAGTGGACAGTGTATACCATTGCAGTGCACAGTGTATAGAGGTTGCAGTACTTAGTGTAGAGTATATAGACATTGCAGTGTACGGTAAATAGACGTTGCAGTGTAGAGAGGTTGCAGTATATAGTGTACAGGGTATAGACGTTGCTGTGTGTGGTATATAGACGTTGCAGCGTACAGGCTTTTATTCGACCTGCTGTGTCCACACGAGCTGTTATTTAACGCTGGTAAACAAAGGTGATTTGTTATTGAACGGGTGATCTGTGCTGATCTTTGGTGATCTCGTTATGGTGATAATACATGGCAGTGATAATGAACATCGTTCAATCCAGACGAGAGCTGAAAATTCCATTGCAATGAGTCTTAATCCTCCTGAAAGTGACGATACCCCCATAATGATATTTGTATTGAAAAACCTTCCCGGTGTCATGCCAGTATTGAAGACCCTCAATTCAGCCATGACAGCGCTGAAGATCTTTATTCCAGCCAAGACAGCGCTGAAGACCCACGTTTCGGTCCTGCTAGTATTGAAGAACCTCATTTCACTCCTGCTATTGAACAACCTGATATCGATCACGTTGCGCTGACTGAACTTCACGTGCACGTATTCATATTTACAAAACAAACTATCAGAAATTGCCATTGATATGGGCGACTTTGTATATCTATTATTCCTTCTTTTGATGTTCCCCCTTTGGGAGTGTGTTTACATCTGAAACATCCGACATTTTCTCGTTGATTTCTTTAGACAAGAAAGCTCATTTTTTTCTTATCGATCTGACCCAAACGGACCTTTTTTCCATTAAGATGTCTGCCGTTCAGTACACCTCGTGAATGTTGATCCTAGCTAGATGAAGTCAATAGGCGAGGTATTCCTGTCAAATGTGCGCAGTCGTGCCTCCGCTCCCCACATTTCACCTCGGGTTGGGAACTTCCTTTCTCTGCTCGGTCTCCATCATCAAACAGCTCCCCCTATCGCGTCCCTCCAGCAATTCAGGGCTGGATGCTTCCAGTTGCATCTGGTGATGCTTTTTAGGTGAGGTAGTAACTACCAGCACACTCTCGTAGATTGTCGTTCGTACATAGCACGTTGCCTAGCGCGTAGAACACTGCCGTAGGTAGAGACGGTTAAATGACGACACGCTGGAGTGTTGGGACTAAATGCTTTTGCATTTATACATATTAGCGGATATGTCGTAGATAGAGATTATTCTTTGGCTGAAATTCCACTTGTCAGCGTCAAACCGACCACCACCCGTCAGGAGAAAATGTTAAGGAGGGTACACGAGGTACACGAGATGGGGCTGGTGAATATAATGAGAGCTATTAT